CTCTGTAAATCTTCACCCAAATCCTAATAAAAAAAAAAAAAAAAAAAGACAGGAAAGAAACAGAAGAACCAAAATGGATGTCAGAAGAAACTCGGAATCTTGCTCTTGAATGGACAATAGTTAAAGTGAATGGAAGAAATGATGAAGTAAAAAAAAGCTAAACAGAAAATTTCAAAAGGCAGCTCGATAGGACAGAGTAAACTATTACAATAAAATGTGAAAGACCTGGAGTTGGGGAACCAAAGCAGAACACACTCAGCATTTCTCAAGCTGAAAGAAATGAAGAAAAAACTCAAGCCTCAAGTTGTGCTATTAAAGGATTCTATGGGCAAAATACTGAATGATACAGGAAGTATCAAAAGAAGATAGAAAGGATCTAGAGTCACTGTATGAAAAAGAACTGGCTGAGATCAACCACTTCAGGAGGTAGCATATGATCAAAAACCAATAGAATTGAAGGAAGAAGTCCAAGCTGCCCTGAAGGAATTTGTGAAAAACAAGGCCCCAGGAATTCATGGAATACCCACTGAAATGTTTCAATAAACAGACTCAGCACTGAAGGCACTCATTTGTTTATGCCAAGAAATCTTGAGGACAGCTACCTGGCCAAGCATCTGGAAAAGATCAGTATGAATTACACCTCAACACAAAGAAAAGAAAAATTCTCACAACTGGACCAACAAGCTACATCATAAGTAGAGAACAGCCTGAAGTTGTCAAGGACTTCATTTTATTTGGATCCACAATCAATACCCTTCGAAGGAGCAATCACGAAATCAGATGACATATTGCACTAGGCAAATCTACTGCAAACAACCTAAAAAGCAAAGATATCACTTTCAAGATTAAGGTGCACGTGACTGAAACCATGGTATTTTCAATACCCTAATATGCATGTGAGAGCTGGACAATGAAAGACCACAGAAGAATTGGTATGATATATTTGAATTGTAGTGATGGTGAAGAATATTAAATGCACCATGGACGGTTATGAGAATGAACAAATCTTATCTTGAAGCAAGTACAGTCAGAATATGCCTGAGAAGTGAAAATGGTTAAGGTCTGTCTCTCATACTTTGGTCACAGTATCAGAAGAGACCTGAAGAAAGACATCATGCATAAAGTAGAGGGTCAGAGAAAAAGGGGAAGACCCTCAATGAGACAGACTGACACAATGGCTGTGATGATGGGCTCAACCATGGGAACGACTGAGGATGGTGCAGGACTGGGCAGTGCTTCATTCTTTTTTATACAAGGTCTCTTAAGTCAAAACGGACTCAACAGCACCTAACAACAACAACATGCAGCCATTGAAATAATGTAGAAATATGTGCATCTGTTGACCTGAAAAGATGTTTATGATGTAAAGATCAGTGATAAAAAAAGAAGCTTACCAAAGACTATGATCCCATTTTTGTGTGACAAATATTTACCTACAAACACACATTGTGTAAGACTTTATGACAGGATCCAGGGTTTAAATGCTCATTCCTACAACTTAGATGAGTTATCTAACCTCTCTAAACTTTAATTTCTTTATTTCTAAATTATAAACTAGTTCATAATAATATAAACGAAGTTTACTTCTTTTGAAGACAGAATATAATTTAGACACACATACACAGAGTAAAACCTATGAATGCTATAATCTGCGTAAGGCAGAAACCTGTCAGAGAAGAAAAACTCAAATACTTTTCACTAATAAAGAGCAAGAGAAAAATGGTAAGACTGCACCTTCCCAAAGGCAGAAAACTTGTGAAACCCAGGAAAAGAAGGCAGTCCAATTGAGTTGGAGCTCTCATAAATTTCACTGTATATTTAAATCTGTTGCCCTGGAATTTATTCCAACTCACAGGACACAGGGTTTCTAAGGTTGTAATCTTTATGTAAGCAGACTGCCACATTCTTCTCCTTCATAATAATAAGTGGATTCGAACTGAGGACCTTTCAGTTACCAGGCAAGTGCTTAAGCACTATGCTACCAGGGCTCCTCACATATATATATCATTTAACACATTGTCTGCGTCTGAGTAAATAATATATTTGAATTTGGTATGGATTATTTTTTTCCTGTTTTGCTTATTTTTCAACAATAGAACATGAGCGACTCTATAATTGTAAAATGTTATTTTAAGAAAATATGTCATGGTTGAAATAGCAAAAGTTTTGTTACATGTACTTTACCGTCACAATAAAAAAAAAAAAAAAAGTGATAAAGGAAGAATCTTGGTCTCCATCGTAAATGAAGGGAAGTGGTTGCATCCAAAATGCTTTTAAAAATGCTCTAGCTATTACAGAAAACAGGTATTTACCCTTGGGACAGCCAGTCACTAAAAAGGGATAAACTATTCTATTATTAAATAAAAGGTTATATTTCAGACTAGAGATTTATACTTACCAGAATACAATGTAAATTTGTTAAATTGACAACCTCACAGACCGTTTTTATTCTATCTATTAGTCTTGCAAAATAGTTGACCATTTCTTCTCTTTTGATTATTTTTGCATATCGAGGGAAGGTAGGTGGAAGTAGTCTCTGGTTAACAAGGGGCTCAAAACCCATCATAATTGGATGATCTAAAAGGAAAAATATAAAACCATAAGATTTTCAAAGTCTCTCTGAATTTCAGGTGCTCATATGCTATTAAATATAGAAAGAAAAATGACTTTCGAAGCACCTCCAAATTCTAATCATAATAGCCTCTAAAAAGATTTTATAATTGACCATTAATATAAATATAAATATATGAGAGCTCTGGTAGCGTAGTGCCTAAGGTACTTGACTGCTAACCAGAAGGCTGGCAGTTTAAACCCACCAGCCACTCCTTGGAAGGCAGATGGGGCAATCTACTTCCATAGTGATACTGCCTCGGAAACCCAAGGAGGGGTCGCTATGAGTCGGGTCTGACTCAACAGCACATAACCACAACAACAAATATAAATATATACACATTTTTTTTAAATGACATAAGCAGAATTAACCTAAAACAGTACTTCCTACCTACATGCTGAGGATGGGTTTCCCATCTCAAAATGAACTTCAAGCCAAATATGGGATAAAACCTGTTCACTATGGGTGGCCCTGCTGGTATTTGAAACACCAGTGCCATAGCTTCCAGCATCACAGCAACATGCAAGCCACCATAGTACAACAAACTGACAGATGAGCAGTGGAATGCTAATATATACGCTCAAAAAGAAGTAATACTACATGAATCATGACATTGTAAGGAAAAGTAAAACAGGAACCCCAAAATGTAGGCTTCTCTTCCTCAAATTATCCTAAGTGAAGAGAAAAATCAATACAAACTTCACTACATAACCAAAAACTGGCACACTAACGTCTGAATGCATCTGATCCTAAGATGTAATTTTAGAAATCTACAATACTTCAAAAGGAATAACATTACAAGTAATGAGACCTAAGGGTGAGAGTACCTGTTTCTATTCTCTGTCTCATGGTAACCTCCTCACTTTTCACACCAGTGCAAAGCTCCTAAATAACTGATCATCTTGAACTTTAAAATGAGGAGGTATCTCCAGTAAGTGCAAAATGATTAAGGATACTGGATTCAAAGTTCATCTACTGGACCATCAACAGACTACAATCTAAGATTAAATAGAAACAGTTTCACGTATCAATGAAAGATAAAATTAAAGCTGAATAGGTATCATGATTAAAAACTAAAAGAAAGACTCTACTTAATGTTCCTGAGGCATACACCATAATGGTTCTTAAAAACCAAAAACACACAACAATAAAACCACAAAAGAAACATATCCAACTATAATCAAGTTGACTCTGACTCACAGCAACCCTGTGTGACAGAGTAGAGCTGTGCTCCATAAGGTTTTACTTTTGTCAAACTGTATTTTGTTTTTTGTTCAGAATATACATAGTAAAACATACACCAATTCACCTTTCCACATGTACAATTCAGTGACACTGATTACATTCTTTGAGTTGTGCAACCACTGTCACCCTCCTTTTCTGAGTTGTTCTTCCCCTAAAAATTTAAACTCACTGCCCCCCGAGGTTCCTGTAGAATCTTTGCAGTTGTTGTTGCCAATGTGACTCCATACAGATAGTTCTTAAAAGAGCATAGTGCATAATAAAGGGCATCTATGCAAAACCAACAGCCAACATTATACTCAATGGGAAGAGACTGAAACCATTCCTCTTGAGAATAAGAACCGGACAAGGATGTCCTCTATCACCACTTATATTCAACATTGTACTGGAAGTCCTAGCCAGGGCCATAAGGTAAAAAAGGGAAATAAAAGGCATCCAAATTGGTAAGGAAGAAGTCAAACTATCCCTATTTGCTGATGATATGATCCTATACTTAGAAAACCCAAGAGACTCAGTCAAAAATCTACTGGAACTCATTGAGAGATTTAGCATCGTGGCAGGATATAAGATCAACATCCAAAATTCAGTTGGATTCCTCTACACCAGCAAAGAGATTGCTGAAAAAGAAATAAGGAAATCAATACCATTTACAATAGCTAACAAAAAAAAATAAAATACTTGGGAATAAATCTTACCAGGGACACAAAAGACCTGTACAAAGAAAACTTCAAAACACTACTTTAAGAAACCATAAGAGATCTACATAAATGGAAGAACATCCCATGCTTGTGGACAGGAAGATTGAACATTGTGAAAATGTCAGTTCTACCCAAAGCAATCTATACATTCAATACAGTCCCAATCCAGATCCCAACAACATTTTTTAAGGATATAGAAAAACCAATTACTACCTTTATATGGAAAGGAAAGAGACCTCGGATAAGCAAAGCACTCTTGAAGAAGAATAGCAAAGTAGGTCTCACACTGCCGGATCTCAAAACCTACTATACAGCCACAGTAGTCAAAACTGCCTGGTATTGGTATAATGACAGACACACAGACCAACAGAATAGAATTGAGAACCCAGAAATAGATCCATTGACCTATGGTCAGTTGATCTTTGACAAAGGGCCAAAATCCATTAAATGGGAAAGAGAATGTTTGTTTAATAAACAATACTGGCAAAACTGGAGATCCATTTGCAGAAAAATGAAACAAGATCTGTACTTCATACCATACACAAAAACTAACTCCAGATAGATCGAAGACTTAAATATGAAACCTAACACTATAGAGTTCCTCAAGGAAAAACTAGGGGCAAATTTAGGGGCCCTAATATATGACATAAATAGACTGTCAAGCATAAGTCAAAATGCACAAACAGCAGAAGAGAAACTAGATGAATGGGACTTTCTAAAAATTAAACTTTTATGTGCTTCCAAAGACTTCTCCAAAAGAGTCAAAAGAGAACCTACAGATCGGGAAAAAATATTTGGCAATGGCATATCTGACAAGGGACTTATCTCAAGAATTTATAGAAAACTCCAATACCTCAGTAACAAAAATACAAATAATCCAATTAAAAAATGGGCAGAAGACATGAATAGACACTTCACTAAGGAGTACATTCAGGCAGCCAACAAACATATGAAGAATTGCTCATGATCATTAGCTTTTGTTGTTGTTGTTGTTATGTGCAGTCGAGTCAGACCCAACTCATAGCGACCCCTTCTTGGGTTTCCGAGGCAGTATCACTACGGCAGTAGATTGCTCCATCTTCCTTCCGAGGAGTGGCTGGTAGGTTTGAACCGCCAGCCTTCTGCTTAGCAGTCAAGTGCCTTAGGCACTATGCTACCAGAGCTCCCAAAAAAAAGCAACCATTGCCGTGGAGTAGGACCCGACTCACAGCAACCCCTCCTTGGGTTTCCGAGGCAGTATCACTACGGAAGTAGATTGCCCAACCTTCCTTCTGAGGAGTGGGTGGTGGGTTTGAACCTCCAGCCTTCTGGTTAGCAGTCAAGTGCCTTAGGCACTACACTACCAGAGCGCCTACAGCATATACATATATGCCCTAAAGCATTCTATCCTTATTTTATGAATGCATTGATCCCTCTCATTTCTCTTAAGGCTAGCTTGTTTTGTTCTCTTCCTTTCAGGTAAGAGATTCCCACTCTTGATTATATGCTCAGATTTGAAACTGTAACACAAAATCCCCATTAAGATCTCTGTGAATATAGGTCATGCTTTTTGGCTAAGCCATTTTATCAGGAGTTATCAGAATATTCAAAATAATATATCGATATATAGAGAGATTTTGCTGATGTTTTTCTTCACCTTATGGGAACTCTGGTGGCATAGTACCTAAGGCATCTGATTGCTAACCCAAAGGCTGGCAGTTCAAATCCACCAGCCACTTCTCAGAAGGAAGACTGGGCTACCGCCTTGGAAACCTAAGGAGGGGTTGCCAAGAGTCAAATCAACTCAATGGGAGTGAGTATAGTTTTTTTGTTTGTTTATGCTGGTTGGATTTTCATACGAAGAGTCTTTAAATCTTACGTGGCATTCATGAGCTTGGCTGTACTGTTTTGGAAGCTGAGCACTGGAGAAAAAAGGCTGGAGGGGCTGGGGGGGAGACTGTTGAAGGGAGGGGCAGGAGCAAGTCACATTAATTGGTATTTAGACTTTCATGTAATTCCCCCGTATTGCGCACCCTTCAACTGTAGTTCTTAGTCCAGAATCCCTGCTTCCCTACTCCAGTGAAATAAGCTATACATTCTGAGGGACTAGAATGTCAGTCACCAAGTAATGCAAAAGGTAACTGTTATTTCTCAACAGATTTTCAGCCAGTTTTCATGTCATCAGTTCAATCCTCATCCTCACATCCAGAGTACCCAGTACACTACAGTCTTTAGGGAATTCACAGTTCAAACAGGGTTTCTTCTTCCGCTTCCCTAGTAATGAAGAATTATTCAGTGTTTTGGGGACAGCTAAGTCAGTGCCTATTTGTTTTACAACTTCGAAAATTTTGCTGCTGTTGTCTCTTCTCCCTGTATTTTTTTCTCTTTCTTGATTCTGTATTTTAAAAAATCACTTCATCATTGTTTCATTTGGGTTTCAGAAAGTAAATTCATACATTCAGTTCATCAACTTTACTCAGACATCTTTTATTTTAAATAGATGATCAAGCCCTTTTGAACTTGAGTATGTCACATTTCAAAATATACTCCAAAAGTGTACCTACCAATTTCAGGCAATATAAAATTTAAATAAATTTGTCCTTTCCATTCATAATTGTTGAAGATGTTAATAATCCAAAGGGCAACAAACTAGCTTAACCCACAGATAACTATGAAAGAACATGGGTGAGAAAAACAAATTCTGACATGTGGAACCAAGAAAGTCTCATGGAAGAGATGATTTGAACACCATTTTGAAGAACAGGTAAATATTCCACAGATAAAGAAAAAGAAATGTAGAATTCAAGAGGGACAAAATAGCATAAGCAAAGACAAAGAGCAACATTTGCCTCCCTGGGTCATTTTTTTCTTTTGTTTCTTCAACAAAGATATTCTCCAAGGTTTTGAAACCAGCAAACCCTTAAATAATCACATTCACTTTTAATTTCAATTAGCACCTAATACGAAAATGACCCTAGAATCAAATACTTACTTTCTTAATGGACTGTTCCATCTCACAGTATCAACAAAATCTCATTAATTATCTGAGCTGCCTGCCTTACTCACCTCCTGTCCCCAAAGCAGTTCTGCCATCTTAATTCATTAAAACATGATCATCCATCAAGTATACCCCACAAGTACAAGCTTGAATCTTCCTGCTTTCCCCCTGAATACCACTATTTCCAAATCCTATTGATTCTACCTCTTCAATAAGAACCAAAAATGAATGCTCAATGATTTCAAGCCTTAAACAGCCATTCTGTCACTAGCTGGAGTTAACATAATCATAACAAAGCAAAACTAATCTACACTATTTCTCATCATCATTAGGAAAGTATTAACTTTTTTCTTATAGAACAGTGTGGCTTTATGCTTAAGGAATAATTACAAGCCAGCTAAAAGGTATTATTATATAGAATACAAAGCACAGAGTGAGTATTTCCAAATTTTAAAACTTCACTTACTTAGTCATTAGACTATCTTTTTAAAAGTTTATTCAAGCTACTTTTATACAAAGTATCTTTCTGAAGCTTCATTTGTCAGTAGTCTATAAAACAGAAAGATACTGGAGAATGTGCACAGGAAAGGTTTTTTAACCACTGCTATAAAATATAGGGAAACCACATGGGCAACTAATGACCCTCTGACAATTATCTTCAGTGTCTGCTCAACTGCAAACAGAGAAAAGACCAACCCAAGATAAGGCAAAAAAGAGATCCAGTAATCTGGAAGACTTGTTTTGCATTATTAGTAACTTGCTGACACACAACCAATAAACAAATTATTTTGAAATCCTGTATATATGGTGGTTTCCATAAAAGCATTTCTTTAATAGACTTCAAAGTACTGAAGAGTGGTGGCTATGTTACATACACCTTTCTGTAAACACGTACCAGACAGCTTGCAACAAAACCTTTTTTTATATTCCATGGTTACAAAATGACACCTAGTCAATCATTTCATAATATATTCATCATTCTAGAGAAAATAAGGGAGTTCTGGTGGTGTAGTGCCTAAGGCATTTGACTGCTAACCAGAAAGCTGGAAGTTCAAACCTACCAGCCACTCCTCAGAAGGCAGATTGGGCAATCTACTTCTATAGAGATACTGCCCCAGAAACCCAAGAAGGGGTTGTTGCTATGAGTCAGAAATGACTCAACGGCAGTGAGTTTGATTTTTTGTTTGTTTAGAGAAAATATAAATGAATATGAATTCAGAACAATTATTAGAAACATAGTTATGAAAATACTGATTTCCTAATTCAAATTACCTTCTGGACTGTTCCACTATCTAATGTTTAAGTAAGAAAAAATTTGTGGATAGGGAACACAACTGTAGTCCCTAAAAGAAGAAGGGCAAGGGCAGAAAAGCAGATGGGTGTGAATCAGTAAAACTTTGTCTCTCTGGTCACAGGACCAGCAACTGGGAAACTATAATATAAAGAATATAAATATCATCTCACTTTAATGAACTTTAAGTACAATCAAAATTGCTACACAATATGTAAAATAAGAACTCAGTTGCAAAAATTTTTATGAAACACACTGTTCCTTTTACTTTAAGGTATATTTCATAAATAAAATCTACTGAGTGCCAACAATGTGCCAGGCACTGTCCAAACCAAACCAAACTCACTGCCGTTGAGTCAGTTCTGACTCACAGAGACCCCTCCTTGGGTTTCTAAGGTGGTATCTCTATGGAAGTAGATTGCCCAGTCTTCCTTCCAAGGAGTGGCTGGTGGGTTTGAACTACCGGCCACAGGCACTGTAAAGATATACAAGTAAGAATATAGTCTCTAGCCTGAAAGCACTCAAAATCAGAAAGACAAGTAGGCAATCAATTAAAATACAATGTACTACAAAAAAGTTTTAACAGAGGCATGTATGCAGTGCAATGAGGCCACAGAAGGAATATGAGGCCTGCCTGGCAGAGTCAGGGAAGGCTGTGTAATGGAGATGATGATGATCTCTCAGACAAAGTAAAAAGGGAAGAGGTGATACAAAAAGAATGTAGTGCTGGTATCACAGCAGAATCACCAGACAGGGTTAATATTCTAAGCCCAAATGGTAAATACAGAACATAGCCAGGTTGTATGGTACTATGTGTTTTTTTTTTTTTTTAAAAAAAAGAGACTAAACACTCTATATATATAAGGCTACAGAGTAAAACAATGCAAGGTTCAGACAGATTGACTTAAATGAATTTTTTAATAAATTAAATACTATACATTCTGAATGGAAAAGAAAAACCAAGTAGGCACAAAATGAACAATTACCTCCTTTTGTGGTATCATTCTGGGCCTGGATGCCATGATGCAATGAATTATGAATGGCAGACAAAAGATCTGCTGCTTGAATCATCAATTTTTGAGCTTCTGCAACAGCACTGGTCTAGCAAATAAATCACCAAAAACATTCTTACATATTCTTTCACTGAAAGATATACATTAAATAGGAAAATCCTATAAACAATAATGAAATTAAATGCTTTTTGTAATGACATTGGTTTTCACAAATTATTCACTTAAATACAGGATGCCCAAGATACTGTTAGGATAGAAATTTTTTTTTTTTTTTTTTTTTAATTCCTATTTATGCCTTGTAGGTGCCATTAAAAACAGTAGGAAACATTTCTGGTTTATTCTGTTACTCTTATATTAAAAAAAAAAAAAAAGATTCAGGCAACTAGAAAATGGAGAATTTCAACATTTCTACTCTGTCACGTAAGATAGGAAAAATAAAATTACAAATGTTAAGTCAAATATTAACGTCTGGATCTCTTACTTTTCACTTATTGACTATTCAAAAATTAATCTGTAACTGACTTGACTTAATGTAAACATAGATAAAAGATAAAATAATCACCATCTAGGGCTTGTTTTTGGTCTATACAAATCCAACAGTTAATGATTTGTTAAGTGAAGGAAGAAACAGGCCTACTTAAAATTCTCATTTCATTTTCTCCTTCCAATTCCCAATAGAAGAAAACCAACAAGCAATTTCACCTTCTATTGCCTTTTCATAGATAAGTGGTATCAGTGAATATTATTTTTATCTCAATAACAGACCTGGATATGTTCTAGAGTAGAATGTAAAATTCATGTGACTTTTCAGGAAACTCATCGGGGGTTCTCTTGTGTAAATACACCAAATGCTGAAGGCTGCTGTATTTGCCATCAAGATTATTTCAAGAAGGCATTCCATTCAAAAATCACTAAACACTAAAACATGGATAGACAAATTATTGTAAATGCTCTTACCTCTTTCTTTGTAAAGGCTATAAGCACTGTCAGTAACACTCGAGTAAATTTCACTCTGCTAAAAACTGCTAAACATTGTTGATGCTAAAATAAAAAGGAAAGAATTAAGTTAAAAGATGCAAAGCATGTCAAAGGAATTTCATTTTTAAATAATGTTATTTTAACTCCTAAATCTCAATGTCAGTAACTTACTACACATTGCAAACAACTTCACTTACAGACTTTTAAATGCCTGAAAAATTAAGTTGCACATAACATAAAACAAAGCTTATTCTTTTGAAACAGAAATATAAAAAAGCTTTCTGAAACAACAGTAACAATTTTTTTTCCTATCAAAAGTTAGTATTATTTCAAAACAAAAAAAAAGATTCAATTAAGATGTTAAAAAGGATTAAAAAGTGCATTAAGCGGAATCAGCAAATTTAGGATCTTTCAAGGGTTCAGCAACTTTTGACCCTGGACAAGTTCTTCAGCCTTCCAAGCTCTCATGCATCTTCTAGTAAAGATCTTTTTTTTTATCCTGCCTCATAAAAATATTGAAGAGCTTTGAAATCATGTATCTGAAAGAGCTGTATTATCATTCTATTAAAATAAATACAAGGGAAATAAAAATCCCTTGTAATGTCCAATTTTTAAAGAAATACCTTCAAAAGGGCTTCCATAAATTATAACGCAGTTCATAAAACTACAACATTAAGAGGTAGACTTCTCTGATATTATCTACCAGAAAATAAGTTCAATTACTTCTAGTTCAACTTCTGGGTCTCTTTCTTCTCCTTGTCGACTTCGAGTACTCTAAAATTTTAAAAAAGCTAAATTAAAACAAACACAAACCTGTACAACTATTAGATTATAAATAAACAAGAGAAAGTACGAAATTAATTTACTAAATATATACAAGAATCTATTTTTTAAGAAATTTCTATAAAATATACCAGTGTCTAGCATTTATTTTCTTCCTATGAATAGTACAGACTTAAAATTTACTTTGAACTAAGTGACAAAAATCACCCAAAATAAGCAGGAATTAAAAACAGCAAAAGCAAAAAACAATGTAAGCAAAGGCACATGGCACAAAGTACTACTCTACTTTATCATACATTTATTAATTGAAATTCCTGATGCTCTCAAAATTAGAAAAAAATAGTAACCTTTACAAATCACATCATAAAGCAAAGTCATATAGTAAATGCTCATCTCTTCTACACAAAGATGTAAAACATCTTATTAGTACTAAAGTAATACATCAATTCACTATTTTATATGACAAAATCCCAGGGCAGTACTATAAGAAGATCTGCAGAAGATCTGGGTTCTAGCCCTGGAGCTGCCACTTACTTGTGGTATTTAAATCTTTAAGTAAGGCTCAAATAACTTAATTCCTTTGAGCCGCCTTTCCCTTATCTAAAAGTGGGGCACTGTGCACATTTATTGGTTACTTCACTGAATTGCAAATATCAAATAAGTCAATAATGTAATTGCTTTGACAATCATACTACATTATACAAATATAAACAAATAGTAAAAATGTAATTTTTTTTTCCTCATTCAATCTCTATATGAGAACTAAATCATCAGGGTCACTTGGCTGAAGGCTGTCATATGAAAGGCTAGATCTCTGCTTTCCCCAGATGTGGGGTAGCACCATTTATTGAGCCACCTATTGTGTTCCAGCCACCTAAACCAAAACCAAATCTCACTGCGATCGAGGCGATTCCATAAAGATACCAAGGTGAAGAAGACAGTCCTTACCTACCTTTGAGGAACTTAAAATTTTAGTAGGGGGGAGAAAATACTACTCTTAAAATTGCATACTACAATTCTGTAACACTGACAAACATTTGAACTAGATTAAGAAGATTATACTTAATTTACTTAAAAGTAACATTAACTAATTTATCAGCAACTCTTCCTGCATTCTTCAAATTCATTATTAAAAAAAAGACATAGAATATAGAGGAAAAAGGTGGTCCTATCCATATTAGCTATCTGTAATTAGCTAAAATTAACCTGACATTTAGAATACCAAAACTCTGTACCAAAGAAAAGAGAAAAAATATATACCTTTACTCTTCTTTGCATGTCATCTTCCACATCTTTTAGCATGCCTATAAGAAGACACAGTGAGTTTAAAAAGGAAACAAATCAAAACATAAAACTTGTGAATTATTTTTATAAATGGTTTTACCTGTAACTCGAAGATCAGTTACACTGTTAGCCATTTTAAATCCATAAGTCATTGACTGAAAATCTTCCTATACAGAAAAGGAATAATTAGGCCTCCAGTAGTAGACAAACTTTCTATTATAGTTCTCTTATAAATCACTATTTTTAAAAAAGAAAATGGTAATGGAATGTCATCCTCCTTGTCTAAATACCTCTATCATACACCCAAGCTTTCCTTATAGAAATACACTTAAAATTCAATATTTTAATCCTGCCCTTAATTTTAGTTGCTTGTCCTCAGATCATTCAAATATGTTCATTTTGATCCCCATTGGGTTTCCGAGGCAGTAAATCTTTATGAAAGTCAATTGCCCAGTGTTGCTTCTGTAGAGTGGTTTTGAATCACCAACCTTCTGGTTAGCAGTCAAATGCCTTAGGCACTGTGCTACCAGAGCTCCTTAACACTAATCGTAATTTCAGAAAGTAGTAACTCATACTTACAAAGTAAAGCAGTCCCTCACTTATAGATGAATTTTAAAAAAAGAAAAGAAACCCACTCCTATCAAGTTGAATCCAACTTATAGCGACGCCCCCCCATTGGATTTCTTTATGGAAGTAGATTGCCCCTTCCTTCTACAGAGCAGCTAGTGGGCTTGAACCACCAACCTTCTACTTAGCAGTCAAATGCCTTAGGCACTGAGCCACCAGAGCTCCTATAGATGAACAGTTGTTGTTGTTGTGCCGTCGAGTCGGACCCGACTCATAGCGACCCCTCCTTGGGTTTCCGAGGCAGTATCACTACGGAAGTAGATTGCCCCATCTTCCTTCCGAGGAGTGGCTGGTGGGTGGTTTGAACCTCCAGCCTTCTGGTTAGCAGTCAAGTGCCTTAGGCACTATGCTACCAGAGCTCCCTAGATGAACAGTAAATATGTAATAATTACTGTTTGATGATAGCGTTACAAAGTTTAGATAAGATTATTAGTTAAAAAATTATGAAGTAATGCCTGTTTACACAAAGGTTAAGAAAGCAAAGAGAATTATTCTAAATTATAGCAAAATCACATTCCCACTTCTTTGCATTGTAAAGAAAGTTATTCACACATAAGCTCCCCCACTCCTCAAATCATGTAAATCAAGACTGAGTCATTAACAAACTAGGTGGTTTGCTGGACTCTCTTTAAAGAATATGAATTTAATATTATGTAGTTGATTCAATTAAGAAGTCATATGCCCCATCAGAGGAATGGTTCTGCCCTAAAAATGTATATAAAAGCCTAATAAAATGCAGTAACAAATAGTCAAAGAAGTGGCCACAACTACAGAAAAGTTACTTGGTTCTAAACAAAAATATCACTGAGCATCCATTTTATGTCAAGTACCATATCTATCAAACAGAAAAAAACAATGGACTTGGCTTCAAAGAACTCAGATAAGGGTATTTTATGACTCAAAGGACTAGGTCTTTTAAAATTTTGCATTATATTACAGAAACAGAAACTTATCCTCCAGGTGAAGTTTATACTCTATCTATACTTGGACATCAACTAGGATTTCTCAAATTTTACATGTTCAAAAGGAACTCTGTACATCCATTCCCCTAATGTTCAGCACATAGCTAAATGGTACCACGATCTATTCTGTTATTCAGGTTGAAAATCTGGATCTAACTTTTTCACTTTCCCACATTTCATATCAAATCAACAGAAAACCCTGTTGGCTTTATCTTCTAATTATATCTCTAATCTAACCACTCCTCACTCCTTTCAAAGTTATCTCTAGTTCAAGCAACTACCATACCTCACTGGTACTTCAGTAACTATCTCCAAACGGATACCTCCATCTTCAATATTTGTCCATGCTACAATTTAATCTCCACCAGAAGCCAGAAGGATTATTTTCATCTAAATTATGTCACCTCCATACTCAAAACTCAGTAGTTTCCTACCTTGCACTAAAATCCAAAATCTTACCATGACCTGGAAGGTCCTGTATCACATGGCCAGCCCTGGTCTCCTCTATATTATCATTTCCTACCACTCTTCTCTCCATGTTCACTGTACTCCAATCAGATAGGCCTTCCTGATGTCCTATAAACATGCCACACACAGTCTCTTTTGGGGGCTTATGTATTGCCTTGCCCCTTCCTCAAAATACTTTTCTTCAAAAATATGTACAAGGCTCTATCCCTTACTAAGAAGCTCTGATGGCATAGTACCTAAGGCATTTGACTGCTAACCAGAAGGCTGGAGGTTCAAACCTACCAGCCACTCCTCGGAAGGAAGGTTGGGCAATCTACTTCTGTAGTGATACCACCTCAGAAACCCAAGGAGGGGTTTCTATGAGTCGGATACCACTATATGGCAGTGGGTTTGATATCCCTTATTAATTCCAGTCTCTGTTCCAACGCCAGTTCCTCATACAGAGATTCTGCCCTGGGCACTGTCTAAAACAGCACCTTATACCACTTTATACCCCCTTCTCCTGCTTTAGTTTTCTTCACTGAGCTTCTTACTAATTTCATGCAATTTCTTGGGTCATCCAAATGAAGACTCCAAAAAGACACTTTTTTGAGTCTGAAAATCAGGTGAGGAATCAGGACTATACATAAATTTGAGTTTCATTAGCATATTGTGGATGCTTAAAGGCACAAAACTAGAGTAATCAACCTAGGAAAAAGGTGGAGAGAAGTGAGGGAGCCCAGGAGTACTCCAGCATCTAGAGGAGCAAGCAAAGAGACTAACCAATGACACAGTAAGCAAACAAGAGACTATCCGATCAACTGGGAATAGATGCCAATATGTCAGAGAGGAAGCAGTAATTACACTGTATAAAGCAAGACGGGAATGACTAAGGACGCTGTTAGACCAGTTTTTGTAGAGTGGTAGAGAAGAATAGCTACAGTGGGTAAGGAGAGACTGAAAAGAGAAAGCAGAATAAACAAATATTAACACTCATTCAAGGTGACTCTGGCGGAAATTAGCGGAGAAATGGGACTGTAGATATAAAAAGTCATGTATAAAAGTTTGTGTATACATTTTATAGAAAATATTTAGAAGAAAGAACACCAAATAGGTACTCTTTGCCTATATATAAAAATATTCTTGACTTCACGTAAGAGAAAAATCCAACTACTTAAGTGATGCAGACTTTTATTATCCCACATTACCAGATTAGAAATAATTGTTACTATTGGTTCAGATGCTCAACCATGTCAGCAAGCACTTAGATGTTTTCTACCTTTCAGTCCCACCACACTAAACTCTGTTTTAGATTTACATGCTGCCTTAGGTTTTCAAGTTTATCATTTCATATTCACAAAATGAAGTGGCACCTCTAAATATATCATATCCATATTCAAGGAAAACAGTAATAGAAGGGATACATACTATTAGTCCTTTTTACCAAGAAAGCAAAAGCAACATAATCCAAAGGCCCCAAGACCACAGCATACTTGGGATAGTCAAGGACAAGCAACGAGGTATGAATGAAATAGCCTGAGAAAGGGAGAGACAGTGGATGCGCACATCACTTAGGGGTTCATAAGTTCTTGGACAGAGCTTTAGATATATTCTGAGTGAAATGAGAAGGACGTGCAAGGTTTTGAACAGGCAGTGATATGATGTAACTTTCATCTTGAAAGGATCACTCTACTTGTTAACTACACAACAGCATGTAGTCAAGATATGAGACCAGCTGAGGAAGCTACTGCAAGAATACAGCTTATAGGTGACAGTGAGTTGTAGAAGGGTGTACTGGTAACAGAAGTGAGAATGATCAGACTCTAAAATTCTGAAAGTAAAGTGTTTTCGAAAGATAGTTTATGGAGTGTGAAAAGCTGCCAATGATGACTCAAAGATTTCTGGCCTAAGCAAATGGAATTGCCACTGACTGAAATGGAGAAGACTGAGAAAAGATAAGAATGTATACGCATGTATGGCTGGGAGGGGGCAAGTTAGAAGCTTAATAGTGTCTGGTGTGTTACATTCAAGATGCCTATTAAACATCTAAATGAAGATGTCAATCAGGCAGCTAGATATTTAAGTTTGGAAGCAAGGTCCAGGTGGACATAATCCAGGAATGCTTAGAAAAGGAAAGTTGATTAAAAACAGACTGAGTGACATGGAGAAGGACTTGATAGTGATGAGGTAAATAACAAGAGTGATTTTACAGAGGCCAAGCAAAGAAAGTATTTCAACAAGGATAGAGGGATAAACTGTGCCCCACTGAAAACTGAACTAGATTTAGCAACATGTCAGTCGGTTGACGGTGACCCTGACCTCAGGCAACTATCTAGCAAGGGACACAGACAATTAACAGTGGTAATAAAGAGAAAACAGTTGCTATATTTTAGGTGAGCCATATCATTATCGTACAAACTTGTATACTATCGAGAACAAAAGGTGACAGTATCAATCATTATACTACAACAAAAGATGCAAACGATTTTATGCAAACTAGAATATATAGATTCCAGCTGTAACAGAAGAACATGCTAAAAAGGGGCAGAAAAGAAAACTGAAATCTGCCTGAGAAAGTCAGGACAGTGGGATTGAGGTTTAAAAGTAAGTAGGACATAAGAAAAAGCTAAAGTAACTGATTCTTGCTCTGGAATGAAAGGGCAGAAAACTATGATTTTTCAATATAAATCTTGTAGGCTATTTGACTTTTTAAATAACGTGTATTATTATTAATTTTATTAAAACATACAAAGACATACACATATATGCCAGTGGAAGTTTTTAAACAACAAAAAAAGAACATGGGGTTCTGGTAAGATGGCGGAATAGCCAGAAAGACTGCACAGACCCTTTTCAACAAAGAAAAGGGGAAACAACTAACACAGATATAGAAGAAAATCCTGGACCGCTGAGCCTTGAAGGAAAGGATATAAAAGGGGACTAAACTCCAACTAGCAGAAGAATTTCCATGAAAATACCAAAAAAGGAGACATACGGAGCTGCGGTCTAGCAACAATCCTGACGGCACAGACAGCTTGGATATTGCCAAGTGGTGGCAGGACCTAAGAATTAACCTAAAAATCAGCCTTGCAGGCCAGGGATTACACAGAGGCCCGCACTGGTGGCTGGGG